CAGTCTGAAGAAAAACATTTTATGCTGTTTTCCTCATACAAGCCCCCTCCTGCCGTAATCTGCAGTAAGGCCCAGCCACAGGAAATTGACCTCACAGTAAATTCTTTACAGATTCGGTCATGTTTTTACCATCCACTTAAACTTGCATACATAACCTGAGACTGTACCTCTGGATCAAGGAATATGACAAGCCAAAATAAAATCAAGTCAAATTAAATAGCAAGAAAAAGCTGCAAGCAAAACAAGACTGAAAAAAAAAAAAATAGAAAAATATGACAAATTGGTTGTGACTGCAAAACTGTAAGTATTAAATAAAGAAAGAAGTCAGAAGCAAATTCAGAAGCATCTGTATTCTAGTTGACAAGGGCTGAGAAATACTAATGGACTTTTTTAATGGGTGGTTTGATGGATGAGAGAAGAAATTATGTAAAAGTAAATGTAGTAGTGTATCAACATAAAGTATGGTGGGGAAAAAAAAAAAAAAAAAAAAGCATTGCAAATAAAAAAAGACATGTAAATGTGTGCCTACCATTTTCCAGATAAGAAGGGGCCGTACCTTCTGAGGGGTCAAGGCGGCGAGCCCGCCTCCCGTGTTTGGAATTGTTGTGTACAAACATGTTGTCTGAGACAGCCAGCACGTGGCCATCCACATTGACTGTTGTTGATACAACAACCTGAAAAAGAAAACAAAAACCAACATTTTAAAAATCCTGCATATTTTCACAAACATAGGCACAGAATCAGATCCTCTTTTGAGACAAAACAACATCACAGCCCGTTACTTTTCACTTGAAACGAAGTGAATGACAAGTATGAATACATCTTTGTTTATGTGGCTAACACTGGTGATTTTTAACTCACAATTGTTTCTCTTCAGAACCTGCTACACTAATTAGAGTTTAATCTCCTATTATGCTAACAAATGAATTCAATTCAGGGAAATATTCTTCTAGCCATTAGTTTCAGAAACACCCCTCTAGCCACTCATTTTAAAAGCTGCTGTTTTGATTGATCTGTTGATATATTGATTAGATAGTTTATCTAATTAAAATTTGTTCACTTGAGACTGTCTTCAAATGAAGGGTTGTGAGGATTCCAAATAAAAAAAGCTTAATAAATCAGGAACCATCGTAACTCCCCATTTTTTCTTCAGTAAATGATCTCCAGGTCAGTTTTACAATTACATTTAATGCCTGATAATGAACTTTTTTGCATCTGAAAAGATCGAGTTGAATATGAATAGTGAAAGTGTTTTCAATCCATGAAAAGTATCCCTTCTCAAGTTCATTTGGATGGTGATTGACCCTGGTATGTCAATGGAATTTCCTCCTTTATTTTTGAGTGAAAGGCTCCTATTCTTGTGTCCAGGTTCAGAGTCCGGCCATAGAAGAGATGATGGATAGGGCCTTCTTTGGCTTCCAGCTGCTTCTCAGTAGAAAATGGAAAAGGAACATATGCAGAACGCACAACCTTCCCGATAAAAACACCTACACAATGGAGCTGTGAAACTCCTTCCGGAAACGATATCGCTTGAACGCAAGCCAAAGAGGAAACCATGAGATGCGCCTGTGTTTGTGCGGAACACGGCTTCACAGGTCGATCGCTATTATCCCAGATAGACACTTACATCTTATTTAAATACTCCAGCATGGGCCCTCTGGTGTGGGTTCCAGATTTTCTAAATGAAGTAATCACTGCAGCGTTTTCTTTGGGGTTTAACGTTAGTGGAGTCCTTAAAGTCAATGGCGAAGTTAGACCTTATCAACCCGACTGGTGACGGCGGCAAAAGCTAGTACAAATTTTAGCTTTCGCCTTCCGCTTATTTTACTTTTGGATCTAACAAAAAATGATCACCAGGGTTCTCACACCAGCTCCTATAGACAAAAATGGAAAGGGGAAAACCAGCCGCCTTTTGCACAGAGCTGGTCCAAGGCATCAGAAGAAAATTCTTGTCTGCTTCTATGTTTTGGATCACCTCTGATCCTGTTTCTTATTCACAATCCATAATTAGCTTTCAGCTATCACAGCACCTTTTCTGTGTATCCTGCCTCCTTTGAGACAGCCATCTGCGGTACCCTTTAGAACAGCCCGAGGGCAGTTCTCTGCCAGGCTGCTCTGCTTCCCTGTCTTTCTCCTCCCAGAAGTGGACACTTTCACTCTTGTCAACATCCACTTTGGAGAGTGCTGAGGTTGCACCCTCACCTCGGCCGCAGAGCTGCTGCCAGGTCGCTGGGCTACCTGCTCTCACTTCTAATGAGATTGGCAGACTTTAAGAAATACTGCAAAACATGCAAGTGTGCTTCTCAGCAAAGATTTCAGGATTTGGTTCCTAGAACACGGTATATTAAAAAGACAGAGAAAGGTGTGTATAAAAATGACAACTATTTTTGTTCTGTCATGTATATATAGGTCAGTCACCAAGGGAAAATACTGTAGTTCAGCAAAAGAAAGTAGACATGCTATGCTTTGTTATATCGGCTTATTCCTGCAGTGCACCTAAAGAAAGGTGCTGAGACAGTGAAACCAGTTAAAAATATTGTTCAAGATCTGACATACTGTTAAGTCCAGTTAAACCTTCTGAGAGGCAGGAAGATTAGCTAAAGAGACCCAGGAAAGTCTTTCTAGTGCCTACTGGCTCCATTGTCGACCACAAGATCACTCATGACTGATGCTTCATTTAGTCATCGGTGAGACAAAGAGGACATTTCCACTCATTCCAGGTTTGACCTTCTGTTCTGTTCAGATGGATCAATATCACCAATGCCACGTGAAGCTGAGATGCATGAAAAATGGAAGCTTGGCTCAATTGTTTTGAAGAAATATTTTTTCCAGCTACAGATCTTTTCTGTTGGCTGGCTCAAGGGTGCTGGCTTCGCCGGTTGGTTGGCTGTGCATGAAAACAGATGTCACATGTTTTGCTATCAAGTTTAACCACAAGATATTCTTCTCAAAAATAAGAAAGTTTTGAACATCTCAATACTACTTTGTTATTAGTCTCAAATATGAATCATTGTGAAATATTTTGAAATACAAAGCATACATTTCCTAACAAGCATTTCAAATGACCCCAAACACAGAGGAAATCATTTGTCCATCACGTCAGCTGTCTCTCTGCAGTGTTATGATTCACCACAGGATATTTCAAAAGCTGTAAGGAGAAAGTGAAGTATTAAACATTTTCTAACACAACTGGAATAAAAATATGTGGGTTGGACCACCACTGTAGGATTTACAAGTTGCAAATGTGAAAAACCCCTGCATGAGATCCAAACTTCACTGCGCTCCACAGTCGTGTCTGTTTTAGTAGGATTATGCTACTCAGCCTACATATGTAAAACCTCTGCAGGTCTCAGCGCACGCCACACTACAGCACAAGGTGTTAGCATGAAGGAAAACTAGGGAAATACTTTCTGAGGGGAGACCTCCTTGCTTCAGCACTGATCCGTTACAGTCCACTGCAGAACTCGGCAAGCCCAAGAACCAGCTTTTAAATTAGTGGGGGAAATGTAAACTACCAACATCATTTTTTTAAAAGGCACACGGCATTGGATCTACACTAAGTAGAAGTACTGACACGGGTTTTTCGTTAACAAAAGTTCAAGATGAAGATGTGAGTAAGTCTTTTATACATCATTTATTCTTTAAGAGGGATCTGTACCTGGAATCTTCGCATGTCTCGCGGGTTGCCTGCATTCTTCAAACAGTTCTGATTGCACTTGAGGAAAAACTTTAGAAAGAATCTATAAAAATACAAAATTGAAATCTATTAGATTCATCAAAATGTAAATCCAATTTTAAAAAAGTTTAATAAAATTTAATCATAAATAGTTATACCCAAAAGAATACTGGTAGTGAAATATTACTTTCCTATTAGTTAATGAACTTATTTTAAAGCATAAGATCTCTGTCATAAACAGAACATTATTGCCAGGGCAAGGCAAATTTATATTTTTAATTTTTCAACAACTACAAATATATTGACTCCAGGCCATATCCTTAGCTCTGTGTGGGAAAGTTGATTTCAATGACTCATTGACTTCAAAGGCAATGACTTACACCAGATGAGAATTTGTCTCTATTTTTTTAATACGTTTTATTTTTTCACAACTTATATTAGCAGTAATGACCTCTATGTCGAAAAATTCCAAGGTAATGAATGATCAATCTTCTGAAAAACACTTGGCTTTGCCTCCGGTTTGGAAACTCTCGCTATTCAAAGGGACTCAATCCAACTCCTGCTGACTCCAGGGAGATCCAGGCGGGATCTGCCCACCGGCAAGGCCTCGGTTCCCTCATTGTTTTTGAAAGGAAAGGAACATGGCAAATTAGGCCCTGTCTTACGACCTCTTCAACCTTTGCCAGCCTTTAACTGTGAGAGGAGTCACGCTACCCAGGGATGGAAATCCAGCTTATTTTTGCTGAGCGGCAACCAGCAATTATTTAGGACTAACCCTTATCATCTAGGTATCCCCCCATTAACCATTTTTGTAGCAACTCTGCCTCCAGGGAACATAACGAGCACTTATAGGAAGGGAAAAAGCTTGGAAAGGTGCAAACTCCTTCATGCCGCCCTCCCGTGTTGGAAGAACGAGCCCATACGGGATGTCTCCACCCTGCAGGCTGTGCAAGATAGGGAGACCCTCACTGTCCTGCCCTCGCACAGGTGGATGTGAACAGCCTAACATCACCTTTTCTCTTTATGTAGCTATATTTTCATGTTTCATAATTTAAAAAATGTTCTACAGGTCCGGTTTTCAGTTAAGGACTGTCAGCTAATGACAAGCAAGGCTCAGGACTTTCTTCTCACCCAGAGTTTGTCAGACGTTCCAGTCCAGCAGCTTGTGCTGCCCAACTTCACACACGTTGAATAGCGAGGTTAGGCAGAGCTTTTACATTTAGAGTATGAGTAACTTTTATTTATTCTATCAGTCTTTATAAGTGACTGTGACTATTCTCGCTGTATACACCTCACAGAGGTTTCCGTGTGCCAACGGCATTCC